GTATGGTGGGAAGATATGTTGTTGTCTTTCACTAACACGAAGAGTACCGTAGTTACGAGTACAGGTACTCGTACTCACACCCACAATGTCGATCATGACTACTAGTAAAGCCGTTCAATTGGTGGGAATCAACCTAAGCACTTGATTCAAGAGTACAAGCTCTTGCTTCTTGTACAGTATCGTAGTTAGCAACTGCTAGACTTTGTTCTGTACAGTACAATGATTTCTTGTATGGCACAATGGGTGATTCCCGTTATTCTAAAACTCTAAAGCTCTAAAGTAGAGTTTTAGAATAACGGGAATCAGAATTTCAACAACGGACAGGCTGAGAGACAGCCCGCCTTCAATCAACTCTTAATGGGAATCCGGAATCTTATCTATACTCTAAAAATAGGCGCGCACGCCACTTTGGTACTAAGAAAAACATGAAAATTTGCACCTATACTCTGCCGCACCGATAGCACTTCTCTCACTAGAGTAAAACATGAACACAGTTTCTGCTTATTATTTCTGATTCGATGCCAGGAAATGAGTTCATGCATTRCGCTAATTACTAGCCCGTGAGTTGACGACAAACACACAAAAAGACAACAGTTTCCTCCCAGCAAGAAACAATGCCACGATGGGAGTAGTGGAGGTCGTTACAATGTACTGGTACATTCATCTGAATAACCAAAGTTACAAGAAGAAGCTCTCTCCTGAGGAGCGTCAAAGGAGGGACAGGAGAACCCCAAGGATTGCAATCAGGAGATATGCTCAGTCCCCCTTCCTCCATCTATTCCACTCAGGAGACAACCAAGCACTACTCAACTGTTGTGGTATGGATCACAAGGTCTTCAGGGAGCTCGTGGATGTCTTTGCCCCAGTATGGAACAAGTTTACTGTCAACAACAACAATGAGGTCATTGAAGTTCCTTGTTTTCCCAGTGGTAAGCCCAAAGGGAAGAAAAGGGAGGTCGATGCAGTCTGTGCAATAGGGCTTGTCCTCTACTGGTACAGGACAAGAGGATCTGTTGCAAGGTCGATGGCAAYGGCCTTTGGCTTAACATCCACAGTGATGTATAAGTGGCTCAAGTTTTCAAGGAGAGTTATGCTGTTTGCTCTTCACAAACATCCAGAGGCCATGGTGAGTGTCCCAACAGAGGAAGAAGGGGATGATTATGTTAAGGCAGTTGGACAGAAGTATCCAAGGCTTGGAGAAAACAGGGTCTGGGCTGCCGCAGATGGTCTAAAGAGTGCCATTGAAGCCTCTGAAGACTGGTTCAAACAGAGAGCCTTCTACAACGCTTGGAAGGAGAACACCTTTGTCAACAGTGTGTTTGTCTTTGCTCCTGATGGTAGAATCAGGATTGCAGTCTTCAACTGTCCAGGGGCTTGGCACGACAGTGTCATTGCAGACCATGGCGTCTATGACAAGATTGAGGAGGTCCATAACACATGTAATGGGGCAAAGGTTGTTGTAGATTCAGCATTTGCATTGAAAGAAAAGGAGAATATCCTAATCAAAAGCTCACAGCAGGACCCAGAACAGGAGGATCTCCTACTAATCAATAGGGACGCGACTTCCCTGAGACAGATGTCCGAGTGGGGGATGCGAATGATTCAAGGACAGTTTCCACAAATCAAAGACAGGATGTTCTTGGAGGAGCATGGAGACAGGAAGATCATCATGAGCTTGTTGATCAACCTTTATAACTACCAATGTAGTACTGTAGGGCACAACCAGATCCTACCAACCTTCATGAGGATGCCAGCGGCAACAGAGGCTGACGTGGGACAACCATACAAGAAGAATGATCTTGCAAGGGGTTTCTTCCACATAGGACGCGACATATCCCCCCATGGGAATGATATCTTTGGGTGAATCCCATGGTCGATTGTGGAAAAAGAAAGATTAGTAACAAAGATTAACAAAGATTAGTAACCAGCAACTCAACCGTAATAAGCAAGTGAATTACCAAACCAAATGCAAAGCAAATGAATTACCAAATATAATGCGAATACACAAGGAAAGATAAGCAAAACACAGYGTTGCATCGACAAATGCAGCAACACACGCAACGATGCACTTACTGTTACCACAACATCACCATGGTGGTTGAGGGACTGGAACGGTTGGTTTTGTTAAGYATGGTTTAAATACTGTTGAATTAGCAGTATCGTTGCTGAATGAAGTATGGGAAGGGGAGCAAAACATCAGCTTTATTACCAGCAAGCTGTACGGCTTGCTGTGAGCTGCTAGCTGCTGTTCTTTGTTTTTCGTGTATCGTATAGCGTTGGCCAGAAGATGTACAATAATATCGGGGATTTTTGGCCATCTTTTTCCCGTGTAAAATATGTCGAGCGCGCCGACTGACATCCTGAAATCTTGTCGGAACACACCATTTTTTCTTTAGAAATTTTGTCATGATGTCCGTCGGAGTGCTTGAAATAAATTCTCAATGAACATATTTACCTACAATAACATCCAACGTTGCACCTCCAATGTTGCACCAATACTGATCCTTCATGATGCTGATAGCAGGGAGGCAACTCCTTGTCAGTTGTTGGACACAGAGGAGTCCTCACAACCATGTGCTGAAGCTACCATAATTCCAGTGAGAGCGCTTCTCGTTCCGACAACCGACATCTTCTTGCCNTCCGACAACCGACATCTTCTTGCCCCCCCTCCACGGACACTACTTAGCATCCTCACTGATAAGCAACACTAAATATCCAGCAAGAGTAACACCAACAGTATCACCAGTAACAGTATCAGCAATGCCATYGATCCAAGGAAGCTTCCAACGCGTCAACGCTATCAGCAGCAACGAATCRACGATAACAACRAATCGACGACTCCCAGCAGTAATCAGCAGGGACGCTCTCGAGGATCAGCATCCTCCAGGATCAGCATCCTCCGTATCAGCATCCTCCGTATCAGCATCCTCCGTATCAGCGGACACCGTATCAGCATCCTCCGATGCCACTCAACAACATAACCAACTGACGTTCCTCAAGAATAACGGCAAGGCCGACACGACAACCAGCCATCTTTGAGTCTCAAGAATCTGCCTTTGAAGCTGCCTTTGAGTTAGAATCAGATGTGGAAACTTTGTTTAAGGATGAGGACAGCTCAAGTGATGAGGAACAAGTTGATGAAACGGAGCCTAATTACGATTCGGAAGCTTCTGGAATGAGTGACGAGGAGGCTGCACAAGCAGAGTTATTCAATGTAATCACTCAGAGTCAACAAGAAACAGCTTGGAATTGGGATAATGCAATTGAGCCTCATGATACTGAGTTCTTCTTTTGGAAAGATGGAACCATTGTCGACAACAGTCTTAATTATCCAAAAGTCCCAGTGGGTTATGAAAGAAAGGAACCAAAGGTTGACAGAGGTGAACCAGATCATTGGAAAGATGTTGATAATCCTGGTGGGTGGCATCCTTATTACTATAGACCCAAGTTCGAAGCAGGTACAGGGAAGTATAAGGGACACTTCCTGCCTTCTGAGTGTAAGCCTGTTGAAGTTCCTAAACACTTATCTGGTCTTGGCAAGGAACCCATCAGGGAGGCAAAAGGATGGGATTTTCATTACAATGCATGGGATGGAACAACDGAGGATCCTAACAATGATTTCTCAAGGAAGTTTGCTACCAAACACAACATGTTTCCAGATGAAAGKAAGGGGAAGCTTGATATCTTCAAGCTCCAGCAGCATGGGCTCACAAAGGATCGAATTGAGAACGGTGACGCGTTCTTCTTCTATCAGTTGCTCCTTCCTATTGCTCCYGACTCAGCAGAAGCTCAGCGGTACCAGAGTGAACCCGAAAAGAAACTTACCTATTACAACAAGGTGATGAGATATACAAATGTCTACATCATGGATGCAAATGAAGGGGAAGGACACCAAGTGAAACCTGTTACTTTGCCTGAAGCAGTTCATTTTGATGGCATCCTGTTCATGCACGGAGCTTGTGAAGGCGCAAGTGAGAATATAAAGTTTAGATGGGATCCTAAAGATCTTTCATTCAACGAGGACATTGCGAATACAATGACTCRCACTAGGTGGCATGAAATCAAAAGAAACTTGAAGCTCTGCAAGAACGATTCTGAAAGGAACTCTGGTAATGTAGCTTACAAGTTT